ACTCACAGAGATCCACCTGGCTCTGCTTCCCGAATGCTGGGATTAAAGGTGTGTGCGACCACTGCCTGGCTTATTTTTATTTTATGTGTGTTGGTATTTTGCCTGCATGTATGTTTGTGTGAGAGTGTCAGATCCCCTGAAACAGACAGTTGTGAACTGCCATGTGGTTGCTGGGAACTGAACCTGGGTCCTCCGGAAGCACAGCCAATGCTGAGCCATCTCTCCAGCCCCTGTAACTGAATTTTGAAATTGCTTGCTTGCTTGCTTCCTTGCTCGCTCGATCCCTCCCTCCCTTCCTTCCGACAGGGTTTTGTAGTGGGTAGCTGTTCTAGCTGTGATCTTGAAGCACTGCCCCTAGTGAGGTAGCAGGTAACTGTTACACCTGCCTATGACCTTGAACTACATGCCCATTCTCTAATAAATTCCTTTGCCCTTTAAGCAGACTCTATGGATTGCAAGCAATATCAGGACCCAATAGGGTTTTTCTGTGTAGCTCTGGCTGGCCTGGAACTTGCTGTGTAGACCAGGCTGGCCTTGAAATCACAGAGATCCACCTGTCTTTACTTCTCAAGTGCTGGGATTAAAGGCGTGCGCCACCACTGCCCGGCTATAGTTTTCTTTCTTAACAACTGAATATGTGCTTTCAGATTTCTTCAGAGGCCCCACAGTATCAAATGTCCGACTGGCTGGGTTAGAATATGTTCTGCACTTCACTGCACTGAACGGGAAGGTTTACTTTCGAAGCTATAAGTAAGTACATTTCCAGATGTTTTTCAAAATCCTCAGGGGTAACGTTTTATTCTAACTCAAAGTTGGTTCCTGCCCAGTGGGCCTGGAGAAATTGCAGATAGTAGTGGCAGGAGCTGTGCCCTGGCCCTGTCTGAGAAACTCACTTCTCCAGGGTCCCTGGTCATCTATCACGAGCCTGGTGTATGTAGTAACCCCCTTCCTAGATTTCTGTGCTGTCTCATTATTGTTCTTGACTGGATTTAGAACAAGCCACAGTCAAGCCAGACAAAGCAGTTTTCAGAATTCTGGATTTGAAAGAAAGCTACAGCATAAAGCAGGGAAAGGAGCAGTGACTGACCACTGATTGCCCCTCTAGCCTAGGTTTCTACCATAACCCCAGCACCATACAGTATGAGTGTAGATCCCAGCAACAGGTTGCTTTGTTTGGTTTGTTTTCCAAACAGTATCTGTTGATGTAGCTTCAGGCCTTGAACTCATTGTGCAGCCCAGGGAGGCCTCAGACTTGGAGTCCTCCTGCCTCGACTTCTTAAGTGCCGGCATTACAGGCCAAGACCACCACTCCTAGCCAGATTCCTTTTTCACTGATGAGATACCAACGTGCTACAATTACTCAGGGTTAGGTTAGCATCCCTTTTATTTCTTTAAAAAAACAGAACGTCCAGATGAACCTGAAGTGTTTTCCTGTTCTTGTCAATCAGTCCTGTGCCCCAGCGGTATAAAGGTTTATTGAGGGACGTGCTGGGTGGGAGCAGTCAGTTCTCCTTAGCATGGCCTCTGTCACTCTGTTCTTCTCACTTCCACTGTGATGACAGAAGAGGGTTGGTTGACCTCTGGCCTCCTCCACGTGCACACGCATGTGCTCTTGCACACATGTACATGCATCGGACTTAATAGCAAGGGCACGCCATACGCCATGGCAGCACACCTTTAATCCAGCATTTGGAAGGCAGAGGCACGTCAGTCTACCAGATTGCTGAAGCCACTTTTAGATTTAGCCTGGCAGTCATTCGTAATACAATGTTTGAATTTTAAAGTCAGGACCCTAGGATAAACTTCATTTTTCATTTTGGGAACAAAGTTTCTTGTAGCCCAGGCTAGCTTTTAGCCCATCTGGCTTTAAATTTCTGACCTCTGGCTTCCATCTCAAGTCCTGAAGTTAGAGGATGTCTTGTGGCTGTGCTGCTGGGTCCCTGCTGCCTCGGTGCCAAGTGTCATAGCTGTTAGTGTTCGCACTGTGCTCCTTAATGAATGAGGGCAACTCTGCCTGTGAGTTAGCAGATGTTTGGGTTGTTTTTGACACAGGCTCTCAGTGTGCTTTGCCAGTGGATTCTAGTACTCAGTAGGTAGCCCAGGCTGGCCTCAAATTGTGATCTTCCTTGCCTCTGCCTCCTGACTGTTGTGATCCCAGCTGGAATGTGAAATTATATTGCTACGACCTGTGTGATGCCTTTCTGTTTACGGTCAGTCCTAGTGTTACTGGCTTCTTCCTGTACATCTGTAGTAATTTATTGCCGTGGGTGAGCGTCATTTGCTTTCCTTTGTCAATTTTGTTCAGCGTATGGGCAGAACCACTAAAGTGATGCGGTTTTGTTTTGTTTTTTAAGATACAGTGTCCCTCTGACTGTGCTGTACTTGAACTTGTAGTGATCCTCCTGCTTCATTCAGTTTCCCAAGTACCAAGAATGTATTACAGAGACAGGCTCCCAGGACCAGCCTGATAAAGAGTCCCAAATGCCACATACACCTCTGCTGGAGTATTGGTTAGGCTGTATGCAGAGAAATATGCCAAACAGGAAGTGTTAGGTTTACCTTAAAAAGCAAACACAGCCTTCCAGTAAGAGAGATTACACAGTGAAAACAGCATAGTGTCAACTAGTAAAGGGGGAGAGACCGTTTGCACGGAGTGGCACCGTAACTTAGTTCATACGTCATTTGTTTTGACACACCCTTGCTTTGTAGCCCAGGCTGGCCTCAAGCTTCAGCCTTACCTTCCTAGTGATGGGATGGCAGGCGCATGTCACTATGCCTAGCATCCATTTGTTCTTTCTTTCCGGCAAGGGCTGAGACAATGTCTCTCTGTGTAGCCCTGGTTGTCTTGGAACTCTTCGCCAGGCTGGCCTTGAACCCAGATCCACCTGCCTGTGCTTCCTGAGTGCTGGATTAAAGGTGTGTGCTACCGTACCTGGCTCATTTTATCTTTCTGTGTTTCTATAGCACTGTTGTCGAACCCTCTGCTCTTTATGTGTCTCATTGAATTGAGTGGAAGGGATTGCTTGATACATGTCTGCTCCTGCGAGTCTTGCTGTGACCAGCAGCTGCTCCCGAGAGTGCACTGTCTCGGTTGGCTATCTGCAGGTGTACCCAGCTAAGAGCTCCTGAAGTAGGCACTGGCACACACACACACCAGCTGCCTGCTGTCCTCTCTGGAGCCTTCCCTAATTGTTCTGTTCCTTCTCATTACCGGTGTTGTCTCTTGCCACTGTGACAGCTTTTTGTGCAACACTAATCAGTTAATACCTCCCTGCCGCCCCTTCCCCCACATATTTTTACCTGTGGGAACATAACTGCTCTATCAAATGTGGTTGCCAGATATAATGTTCAGATTTTGGGTTGGTGGTTTTTTGTTTTTGATTGTTGTTTTATTGAGACAGTTTCACATTGCCCAGAGTGAAGTCGCTGTGTAGCAGAGAATGGCCTTTAACTGGTCCTCAGGCCTCCAGTTCCCAAGTGCTGGGATGACACTTGGCTACTCTTCGGGTCTTTCAGCTCTTCTTAGGACAGGACTCATAAAACAATTGGGGGTGAGGCCGGTTGTGGACTTGAGAGTAAAAGAGAGATTTTTCATGACTGGGAAGTGGGTGCCCATCAGGAATGCACAAGACAGTGAATCCCATTACTTTGTGTTACTGACAATAGAATAATTGAAGGCCTCCTCTTGTCTGGTCACCAGCTCCTCACTCTTCCTTTCTCTCCTCTTGCCCAGATATATCTAGTTCTGGAGTTATTTGGACATAGAATGTTGAAAAGTTGTAATTTTATTTTATTAGAATTTTTAGATTTACTACAAGCTACAGAAGTCATTAATGTGCTGTAGGGAAAAGTTGATTTTGAATGGGTTGACTTAACTCATATAATGTTGGAGATAGGAATTTGTTAATCCTTTCAACATATCGTTTCTTTTCCTTCCTCCCTCCCTTTCTTTCTCCCTCCCTCCCTTCCTTTCCATTTTTCCTTCCTTCCTTCCTTCCTTTCTTTCTTTTTTTTTTTTTTTTTTTTTTCTGAGACAGGGTCTCACTATGTAGCCCTAGCTGTCCTGGAACTCACTATGTAGACCAGGCTGGCCTAGAACTCAGAGACCCACCTGCCTCTGCCTCCCAAGGGCTGGGATCAAAGGTGTGCATCACTAAGCCCCACCAAGCATACTGTTTCTAAAGCCCAGTTAGAACTACTATTTTGGTGCTAGGTGTCAAACTTAGGGTCTTGTGCAAACATTCATGTGCTCTGCCAGTGAATTATCTGAAAATAATTTTTATACTTGTTGTTTCCCAGCATTATTGTGCCACTTCATTTCTGATTTTTAAAAACTAACCAAAGGATGCACTTGGTATGAATGCCTAAAGTTTCTAAGAAGAGGCTTGGCCTCTGCAATTATAACTGTTCCTATCTGAAACTACAAAACCCTTTCAGAAAAGGTATTTCAGAGGAGGACTTTAAAAAATAAACTGAGCAGCATTTCCCCTATTCCTAAAGGCTGCTGTTGAAGAAGTCTGGTTGCAGAACCCCACGGATTGAACTGGAAGAGATGGGACCGTCGATGGACCTGGTTCTCAGGAGGACACACTTAGCATCAGATGACCTTTATAAATTGTCCATGAAAGTGCCCAAGGCTCTCAAGGTACATAACCTGTGATGTGGTGCTGTGTGGATTTCTGTATTCCACTTTTGCCAGGAAGGATTTGTGGCCATAAAAAGATGTATGAAAAAATGAATAAAATAGATAAGTTAGGCTCAGAGCCAGAAGAAGAAAAGAACCTCTCTAGACATAAAAGTAATAAAGAGCTGCAGAAGCCAAGAGTCTGGTTTGGCTTTCTGCCGTTTTCAGCAAAACCAGAACAGTGTGGGCATCATGAAGACTGTTACAGCTGTGTTTCTAGAACGATATATATGTTAGATGTGTATTGACTTGTAGCCTAGTGCGCCCTTGAACTCAAGGTTCTTCTATCTCAGACCCTCAGGTGCTGGATTACAAGCATGCACTACAGGCCCAGCTTTGTGTTGACTTTTAGATTGTTTCACAAACAACTAGACGTGCTAGAAAGATGGCTCAGTGTTTTAAGAGCACTTGCTCCCATTGCAGAAGACCAGGCTTGAGTCCCAGCATCCATCATATCTGTGGCTCACACCACCCGTGGCTTCCTCTGTGGCCTCCATGGACTCCTGCACACGCTTGCACACACACACACACACACACACACACACGCACACACACACACACACACACACACACACACACACACACACACACAAATAATAATAAAAGAAAAGAAATGTAGGCACCAAGTAGACATCTTAACTCTGGAATGCTATCAGAGATTGAACTGAGAACTCAGTCTTCTGAGGCTAAGCTCGGAAAACCGTGTTGATAGATGACAGTGGTCAGTGTATCTTGATTCTTGCCAGATGACCTGACATTTTACCCAGATGGCAGCATTGTAGGACAAGGGGGAGGGGCAGTGGCTGGCTCTGAATAATGAGAATGTGCATTTTAAAGAAGTCCCGTGATTCCTCGAGAAGAAAGGTGTGTAAAGCTGTGTCATTGAGAATCTTCACAGTGGGAAGTGTTAGAGGTGTGTGATGTGCTAGATTTCTACCAGTTTTTATATATATAGTAAAAGACCACTAAAGTTACATATGTATACACCCACATACTTTTCTCTTATTTTATAGCCAAAGAAGAGAAAGAATGTCTCTCAGGATACTTTTGGCACAACTTTTGGAAGGATTCATATGCAGAAGCAAGACCTAAGCAAACTGCAGACCAGGAAAATGAAGGGGCTGAAAAAACGACCCGCAGAGACGGACGCAGAAGAGCAGAGGAAGAAATCAAAGAGAACGAAGAGGAGCTAGTGCAGCCATCTGGCAGGGACCGCTTCTGTGGCCGCTTACTAAAGAGAATCGTTCAACTGGAGTCTCTCCAGTTTTCTCATAGGAATTGGTTGGGCTTTTGGAGGTCTTTGAAGGGGTGGGGGTGTGACAGGATCTCACACTGTAGCCCAGGCTAGCCTCAGCCTCCCAAGTGCTGCAGTTACAGGCTTGTACCACCATACCTGCCGTATTGTATATTTCTGTAACATAACTTATTACTTAAATTTTTAAAGAATTTGAAATTTGTATGTGTTTGGATCATACTTACCCCAACTTTTCCATTGTAATTGATGTGTGTGTGTCCTCAAATGTGTGTCACAGTGTGGGTGTGGTCAGAAGACAACCGTGGAGTCCCTTGTGGGGCTTGAACTCAGTCACTCCATAGTAGCTAAGTGCCTTTATCCACTGAGCCATCCCGCTGGCCCAGTTTATTACTGATGAACAGTAACACACCACAAGTTTAAAACAGGCTTTTTGACCTGTGCCATTGGGTCCTAGTGTATCTTTGCCTAGTGTGATAGCCCTCTCCCTGAATTCTGCTCTTTGATTTTGTGTGAGTGTGAGGGGCCACCACACCTGTGGACCAGGTGGTACTGGATCCAGTGACTTGGGTGATAGCAGTGAGGTGGAGTCGGAGTCGGAGTGCATGGGCAGAGCTTAAGTAGGGAGGGGTTTCCCAAGAGAAGGCGTACCACACTGATGAGTGATCAGGCTGCCCCCGAACATAGAAGGAGACGGGTGAGTTAGGGACTGGAAATTCTGCTGGTCGTAGTATGGTGTATTCTTAGGAAGTGACTGCCTTGTAGAAGATGCCAATCAGTGACCACTTTGTCCTCAGAGACAACATGGTGCCACCAGGTCCACTCTTCGTGGTTGGCCTGGTCCTTATTAGAGTGGGGGTTGAGGAAAGCCACACATTACCGAATTGTTGAGGGAGTGGAGGGTAGGGAAGACAGGTATTATTTCTAGTAAGTAACAGGTTGTGGATTGAGACCCAAGAGCTTACCAGCTCTAGCAGATGGCCCCTCTCTCTCCCATGATACTGGGCAAAAGCCCTGGAAAGCGGAAGTGACGAGCTGTATGCACACTACTTCAGTGTGAATCCCTGGGAGTGTGTGCTGTATCCCAGTACACATGTGGAACTTGACCTTGAGTTTTACTGTTTTGCTAGAACTCTTACTAATTAGAAGGTTTACGTGAATTAGATTGGCTATGCATGGCTTTGATTCCACCACTAGGGAGGCAGATGCAGGCAGATGCCTGTGAATTTGAGACCAGCTAGGGCTGCACGGTGAGATCCCATCTCAAAAGACAAATAGTTCTTTGAAAGTGATTATGTGATCACTGATGCAGTCCTGGGCTGTCTCATTATTTTAACCCAGGGCTTTTTTCTGTTTGTTTCTTTTTTTTTCTTTTTCTTTTTCTTTCTTTCTTTCTTTCTTTCTTTCTTTCTTTTTTTTTTTTTTTTTTTT